TGAATTTATGCTTGTTAGCAGTAAAATATGTCGAGCTGAAGGGTAGAACTGAATCACCTTCACCACGTAAAGCACAAATCGCTCCAGATCAAGACATCTAAGCAAAAAGTGAGCCCCCACAACCACCATGACTGGACGACCCTCACTGTCTACCCCTCCGCGATAGCTGAAAAACATAAATACCTCTGAAATTAAATGTAAATATTAATCTGAACACATGCATGAAATCTTCATTTTGAATTGTTAAGTAATGCAAAAATAGTGGAAAATTTTAAAAGAGTAAAAAGCTTGGTTATTTGTTTATCTATGATTGAGATCTTAAAAGAATTAGATCATATCCAGAAACATTTTTCTTTTCTCATCTGCAAAAGCGTGTATCATCAATATTACCAGACAGTCACTAAATATATCTTCAAGTCAGTTGATGAAAAGGCTGACAAGGATTGAAGAATTTACGATTTCAATGTTCAGTTTATCTCTTGTCCAAATGGCAGAAATTTCTCAGCCCAGAAAGTTTACAAACATTATAAATTGAATTTCATTAACCCTGTTAGAATTAAGCACGTGTATAATGAGTAGTGAGTCATTAGTATTACTTCCTCATCTGTGATTAGTGCTGATTAGCTCTAACTTAGGAGATATTTTTTTATGGTTAATAATATTATTCATAATATAAATATAAGCATGTGTAGACTGGTTGGCCGTACATATTTTTCTCCAATTCTATAAATCCAAACAATCAAATATATAATTATCCCTGAGTAATTTAGGAAGTCAGAGTATGCATAAGCAATGAAATAGATAGATTACTTACACAATTTTCATCTCTGCAATTTCAGACAAATTTAAGGATTTTGCTTTAGAAAGATATCTAGAGTGAAGAGAATATTCTTCAGCAGCAGACAATGGAGGTCCACCTAAGTCACCAAATCCAAGCAATTTAGCAAAATTCCAGCCTCTTTGTGCTTGAACAGTTTTCTCCCATTGCTCTAGACGTCTTTCATCAGGGTCTTTAATCAAAGACATGAAGGCAGGATCCAGAAATGTATCTAAATATGATGAAGTCCTATAAAAGCCACATTAATCAGGAAAACTCTACAAGTAAAATTATAAAA